TAGCCGGTAATCTTGAAGGGGTAAGGGATGGGAGCCCATTTCCAATGAAATAAAAACATCTTTTCAGATGGCAGAAACACTAAATAAAGCACTCTGGCTCTGAGGTGAAGGCTAAATCCCAAGACGACTGGCATTTATAACTCCTACCACAATTCAAGCCCATATGGGCCCAACACTACACCAGGGCTTTTCTGACATCAAAGATAAACACATGGCACACAGAAAATGATGAGTAGCTCTTCAAGTCTTTGGAGAGTGGCAGGTAGCTGTTTCACTACAGCTGGACTTCCCCCTTGTGGTGGTTCAATAGAAAAGAAAGAGCTAATTTCATCATTCCTTTTTTTTTTTTTTTTTTTTGAGAGTCAAAGTCTTACTCTTTCGCCCAGGCTGGCATGCTCACTGCAACCTCAACTTACTGGGCTCAGGCGATCCTTCTGCCTCAGCCTTCCAAGTAGCTGGGACTACAGAGGTGTGCCACTACACCCAGCTAATTTTTTGAGTTATTATAGAGATGAAGTCTTGTCAAGTTGCCCAGGCTGGTCTCCAACTCCTGAGCTCAGGCAATCCTCTCACCTAGGCCTCTCAAAGTACTGAGATTACAGGCGTGAGTCACCACACCCAGCCTTCACTGGGGGAAAACAAAAACAAAACAAAACTCAAAGATGACTTCTCTTGGGGGGGAAAAAGCCATAGAATGTTTTTCAGAGTAGGTCAATCAAAAACTTAGTTCAAATATTCACCCAATGATTTTTAGCATGCCCACAAAAAATAAATAAAAAATTTAAAAAATTGGATCTACAGAAAACAAACTACATAAACATCAATCCTATTCTTTATTTATTATGAATGAGAAAGATATCAACCTTAAACTGTGACCCTTATACAAGAAGTTCTTATTTATAAATTGTTTGACTGAAAAATGTATTGCTATATCTTGGGAAAAAATACTATTCTTATCAAAATACAAATTTATATACTTTGTACTAATTTTATATGTTGTTTTTTTAAAGTTCTCTGGCACATAGGAAAATTTCAAAACTGCATCTTTATAAGGAGCCCAAAATAACTAAAGAGCAAACTAAGTATAGAAAAAAACTTTGTCTAGACTATTTAAATAAATCAATAGAGCATCTTATCTTTACTTGAGGACTTTCTAACAGACAGTGACTGGGACCCCAGGGGTTTGCCTGTTCTTCCTGATGAGAGTAGCTTCAATATATGGAAATAGAACAATTGTGGCTAAATGCAGTCAAATATGCCCATTTGAGCATTCATTCATCATCATGTAAAATTATGATTGTGGGACCCCGAGAAGCATATATCTAGCGCTTGTTAGAGTTCTATGTTCTATCAGGAGGCACTGCAGCAGCATAAGTCCTCTTTATTAAGGTCTTATTTTTATTTCCAATATACCTAAATTATAGACTTTGCAGTATAATAAGTTTATGGTTGTCCCTAAAAACTGAATAGTAAATTCAGCCTACTAATTACTTTTCTGCATTTGGCCTTAACAATAGTAGTTAACATTTGCTGAATTTTTTTATGTGCCAGGAATTGTTCTAAGTCCTTTAAGTATATTAGTTTATTTAGTTCTCATTTAAATAATTAATTATATGAGTCAATGCTATTTATCATCTCCCTTTAATAGATGCAAAACCCCCGCTATAGTGTTACATAACTCTCCAAGTCGCATTTTGAGCCACCATGCTATGTTGCCTTACACTTGAGATTTTTAAATCTAAAATTATTGTATTAATAAAAAGAACAGTCATATGATCATAGCTTGCCCATGGTCACCCAGTTAGTACATGATAGAAATTCAAGGGTAGGAGGGGGAAATGATCACACCAATTGTTGCAGTTATGTTTAAGTCCTGCCATTGCTGTTTGCCTCTGAACAAATTGTTCCATCATTCTAAGTCTTAGCAACCTCATTTGGAAATAAAAGGTGGGGGATTTCATGATCTGTAAGGTCTCTTCAAATACCATAGATTGGGCACCTATAAGCCCTGAGAAGTCACTTGGAAAAAAACTTGTTTATGTCAGTGTGAAGACCTATAAACTTCAGTTTTTTAATCTGTGTATTCTAACATTTCTCTGCATTTCTCTAAGAATGGTTCTGGAAAAGGATATAACAGGAAGCTAAGAAGGTAGAAAGCATTGTTTCTGTGGTCTCCAGAAATGCCAATTTCAGTCCGGCATCTGCTGACACATCCATCTAGTCCTCAAACCCTATATAAATCCTGGCTCCACCATTTGCCAGTTGAGAACTCCGGGGAAGGACTCCATCGTTCTGACCTCAACATCTTTCTCTATAAAGTGGGGATGATAACAATTCAACTTCTAGAGAGTTGCTTTGAGAATTCATTGAGATCATATGTATAAAGCTCATAGAACAGTACTTAATCCACAGTCAGTAGCAAGTAAAAATTAGCATTATTATTGCAGATTCAGCTCCTATGAGAGTTAAGACTGTGAATTACTACACTAATAATTGCAGAGGATTCCCTCTGAAGTTTGAGGAAACCCCAGGTTCCTCCCAAGATTTGTAAAATTGTCTTTAGATAGAAAAAATCTAGTTCAGTAGTCCAATGGTTAAGGTAGATATGACTAAATAGTGAACTAAGTTAGTTTGCTTAATTTATTTAATTTCAGAGAGTCTGTGTGTACAAGATCAATACAAGGTACAAGTTTTTATTAAATCTGATTAATATAGTGAGGCAATCAGTGAGATCAAGTCTAGTCAGTTGGTTAGAGTGAATTTTTTTTAATTTGTAAGGGATAAATTTATTTGCCAAATGTCATTTAGCATTTGATAAATTTAGCATTTACAGTGCATTTTCTGAGGACTGAAAACAACATTATAGAACTCCAGGACCTGTTTTCCCTTTTACATGATAAATTATCTCAGTATATATATTATCCAGTATGCAAGGTAATGAAGAAAACCTAGGGAAGATTGACATTTATTTTGGAAGTGTGATAAAGCAATGGGACTGTTGAAATTTAACACTACCTGGAGGTCTCATTACATGCGCTTGCCACTCTTATTAGTGGAAACTCACTTTTGCCATTTGCTATATAGAAGAGCCCAATATATTTATCCACAACCTTTTTTTTTTTTTGGAGTTGGGTTCTCACTCTGTTACATAGGCTGGAGTGCAGTGACATGATCACAATGACCAATCACTGCTCACGCCAGCTTCTACCTTCTGGGCTCATATGATTCTTCCATTTCAGCCTTCTGAGTAGCTGGGATTACAGGCACACTCTCGGCTAATTTTTTTTATTTAAAAAAATTTTTTTTTATAGAGATGAGATTTCACCACGTTACCCAGTTTGTTCTCAAGTTCCTGGGCTCAAGCTATCTGCCTGTCTTGGCCTCCCAAAGTGCTGGGATTATAGGTGCGAGCCACCATGCCTGGCCTAATCCATGGTTTTAAAGTGAGTTATTAGCTTAATGCAGATCTAATCCAGGAATAAATGAGGACCTTTTAAAATTTATCACAGAATGTTACACTAGTGGTGGTTTATGAAGCATATTCACTCTTTGCCAAGTTGTGTGTACAAATATGATAGAATTACACCCAGGACAAAACCAATACCCTGAATTTAAGCAAAGCTTTTAGAGTTGAAGGACAGCATGGAGATTGTAGCATCCACCAGAGATCCAAAGGATTAAATGATTTGTCTAAGGTTACACAGACTAAGTGAATATCCCAGATTGCAGGTCACACTTCCTTGAGCTCAAGTCAAGGAAAGTTCCATTCTTCTACACTATGCATTCAGATAACATAATATAATAAATGGTGGTAATAACTACAATATCCACCATTTATTAGATGGGTCAAACACTCTGTTAGGTTCTCTCATATACAACCCTTCCTCCGAACCCCTACCCTGCTCTATTCACCTCATAGCTCCATAAGTTATGTCCAGTTATCTTCATTTTACAGCATGGATACTGAGACTCGGGGTTTGTGATTTGTACATGGCTACACAGCTAGCAGATGTCCAGAGGTGGGGTCCAGCCTCTTTTCTGAATCTGTACTCTTTCCACAGAACTGGTTGCCCCGTCCACAGGGACCAATGACCACATCTTGTCTCCTGTTCTTAAAAATTAACTAACAGGCCATAGCTTGCCTTGCTAAACTATGGTGTGGCCATGTGCTCTTTGAGCTATGGCTGGGCTATGGTTCCTGGCTTTGACCCCCACTCCTACCTTGGGGAGGTGAATCTCCTCTTTCTCTCTCTCTCTAATTTACATTTTTTTTTTTTTTTGAGTTGGAGTCTCACTCTGTCGCCCAGACTGGAGTGCAGTGGCCGCTCCCGGCCACCGCAGCCTCGACCTGCTGGGCTCCGGCAATCCTTCCGCCTCAGCCTTCCGAGTAGCCGGAATTACAGGCGCGCGCTACCACGCCCGGCTGACTTTTTGATTTATTGTAGAGATGAGGTCTCGCTGCCCAGGCGGGTCTCAAACCCGCGGGCTCAAGCAATCCACTCACCTCAGCCTCCCAAAGGCACGGGATTACAGGCTGAGCCACCGAGCCCGGCTGTCTAATTTACTTTTTAAATAAAGTATGTTTTCTAGTCGAAAAAAAGACTTTCAACGTCAAATGAAAACAATCTACCAGATTATTAAAGCATTACCATTTGCCTGTGTAAGCCACTGATTCAAGACCATGGGCTTAAATTCAAAACCAAATAGTGAGACACAGGAGAATGGGGAGGGAATATTAAGCCTGGTGCTCTGTAAATTAATACTTTGAGATAAGACAGAAACATTATAGAAAATTACTATTTCTTGAATGCTTCATTCTACTTGAAAGAGAACTCCAATATGCTAAATATTACCCTATATTTTAAGCTAAAAATTATACTGGAAATGGATTGCCTGATGACGGTGCCGTGTACTTTGGGGGAAGATAACTACGTGTCCTAGCAAAATATTTTAGAGGTACCAGATGAATTAGCTCCAAGGCAAAATGAGGCGATATTATATTTAACTGTTGGTTTGGAAACTTTTTATTTAAAAAAGACTTTAAATATGAATGCTATTTCAATACAAGTGTGATAATACTCAATAAAGCATGGCGTACTTGATATTGTGAACTTCCGCGTTTAACAGTCCATCTACCTCCTGGCCCACTCCAGTCTCCACCACATATCCTAGTAGCAAAAGGCATAAGCCCTTTTAAAAACCAAAGAGGCCTTTGGACAGTTGGGTGAGTGGAGTGGGGTGGGGCAAGGAAAGTGCTCTTTCCTGAATGACCCATGCTTTTGGCCTTGACTTCATTTAGTAACATCAATTCTAAAAGAACTGAGTCAAACCCTTCTATGCTCCGCAAAGGGAGGGAGATAAAAAGCTTGTCATTCACAAGCAGCTATGGACAAAACCAGCAGCAGAGTACAGGGGTTAGGGAAATTAGGGACTTAAAAAAAAGTTGGAGTAAAGTGCCGTTACTGTCAAAAATATATTATTTTGATCCTAAGAAAATCAAGAGAATTTTATCTACTGAACTAGATTGCTGACCTTTTAATACATTTGGTTTTCATGGAACATACAATCACCATCGGACATAAAAAGACTAGTTTGCTTTTTAAAAAAAAAATTGCTCGGAGTTATCTACAGGAATCTTGTGAACGCAATTCAAGGATAACATTCTGCAGCTCTTTGGATATTGAATGATGCCCTCAGATCGGTCCGCAAGGGAAACAGGGACCTGCTAACACACTGATTCGAGTGGGCATTCCTCCCATTCTCTCTCCTCTTTTGCCCTCGCCCCCTCTTTCCCTAAATGCCACTGCTTTCCAGTTCTCCTTCCTCTGCCCCCACGGCACGAGACCGGGAAATCATGAAGAGTTTCTCCTTGTTTGTAAACTGCCTCTGCACGGGCTGCGGCTGCTCAGTCGTGGGCGTGGGCGGCTCCGGGCTGGCCCCCTCCGGGGGGCTCTGCTCCCCGCCCGGGGCCGCGGCGGCCTCGCAGTCTCGCCCTTGACCGGCTGCCGCGTCCACCACGGACTCCGAGGAGGTGCCAGCCTCCCGCAGGGGGGTGTAGCCCTTGTTGCTGCTGGACGGGTCATCCGACTGGGAGCTCCCCGAGTGCCGCCTGCCGGGCGGCGAGCCGTCCGGCCTCAGAGGCGGTGACGACGGGGAGGCAGCTTTGGCCGGAAGGCTGGAGTCCAGGGGCGCGCTGCCCGGGGAGGACGGGGGCTCGGGGCACAGCGGCGCCCGGTAGTCTGGGAGCCCGCTGGTGCTG